AGAAAAAAACCACCAAGCAATGCAAGCAATTAAACAAGGGGGAAAGCAGAGAATCAACAGGAAAAGAACATGACAAAGAAAATCCAGTACATATGAGTTATAAACACCAAGGTAATTGGCCTCAATTCCCCAATTAAAAGAAATCAATTGGTGCAATGTATCAAGAAACAGGATCCAACAATGTTCTATGTACAAAAAACATATCTGACTTGAAAGGAAATTCATAGACTCAAGGTCAAAGGATATAAAACAATATTTCATGCATTACAAACCTAGAAAAAAGCAGGATAGCTATTCTGTTTTCAGACAATGCAAACTTCAAAACTGATAAAGGGATAAAGTCACTACATATATTTAAGGGGAAAAATTAAAACAGGAACAAATAAACATCATAAATATATATGCACCAAATACAGGATCACCCAACTACATAAGACAAATATTAATAAACAGGTAAAATCAAATAAAGAATAGCACAATTTTATTTGAAGAAGTTAATACCCCATTGTCACAAAGAGACAGAGCAACTACACAGAAAGTCAGCAAAGGCATAACAGAACTAAATTAAACCTATGAACAAAAGGACTAATGAGACATTTACAAAGTGTTCTACCCAACAACATCAAAATACACATTCTTAGAGGAACATAGGACATCTGTAAAATAGACCATTTATGAGTCCATAAAACATTCTTAAGTAAATGCAAATGTACTGAAATTACCCCATGCATATTATCTGACCCTAGTGCACTGAAATTGGAAAATAGTGACAAACGAATCTAAAAGACCTACATGAACACATGAAAATTAAATAATAGCCTCATGAACAACCAATGGATTACAGATGAAATTTAAAAAGAAATTAAACAATATTTAAACTCAATGAAAATGCAGATAAAACATATCAAACCTGTGGCATGCAATGAAAGTGGTTTTAAGAAGGAAATATATAGTAATGAATGGTCACACCAGGAATGAATATAGAATAAACACAAATAAAAAACCTAATACTGTATCTCAGGATTATAGAAAAAGAAAAGCAAATCAAACCCAAAGTTCAATAAGGGCAAAAAATTATAAAAATCAGAGAAGAAATTATCACTAAATAAACAATACAAAGAATTAATGAAGAGAAGAGTAGGTTCTTTGAAAGAATAGACAAAATTGATAAACCCCTACTTTATCAAGAAAAAGAAAGAAAAACTCAAATTCATGCAATAAGGAATGAAAAGGGTGAAATTACTATAAATCCTGTGGAAATTCAGAAGATAATGAATACCTGCTTTGTACAGGCTAGAAAGCAGAGGAAATGGAAAGATTCCTAGAACCATATCAATTATGAAGGCTGAGTGAAGACGACATAAAAACTTTGAATAACCAAGTATCAATTACTGAAATTGAACATGTAATTAAAAATTTAGCAACAAAGAAAAACCTAGGTCCAGCTGGTTTCACGGGTGAATTCTACAAGAAATTTAGAGAAGATTTGACACCAATGCTCCTCAAACTCTTTAATGAAATTGAGAAGGAAGAAATTCTCTCTAACTCAATCCTGTAGGCAAGTATTACTCTGATACCAAAATCAGAGAAAGACCCATCAAAAAGGAGAACTACAGACCAATCTCCCAAATGAATGTGGATACAAAATCTCTCAATAAAATACTAGCATATATAATACACCCAATCATCCAGAAGATTATACATCATGACCAAGTGGGATTTATCCCAGCAGTGCAGGGATGGCTCAAATCATTTAAATCTATAAATGTAATAGACCACATCAACAGAGGCAACGACAGAAATCACATGATTATCTTAGTAGCTGCAGAAAAAACTTTTTGATAAAGCTCAACACTTAAAGTGTTCAAGATAAAACCCTTCCAAAAACTTGGGATAGTCTCTACCTCAATCAGATAAAAGCCCTCTATGACAAACCGACAGCCAACATCATACTAAGTAAGAAAAACATGAAATCTTTCACTTTAAAATAAGGAACAAGATTTATCCAGTATCACAACTCCTATTTAATATAGTTCTGTAAACATTAGCCAGAGAAATTAGACAACAGAGAGAAATAAAATGAAAAAGGATAGGAAAGGAAAAAATTAAATTATCACTATTTGCAGATAACATGATGTGCTACATAGAAAACTCCATCAAAAGACTACTGGAGTTATTAACTCCAAATTAAGCACTGTATCTGGATACGAAGTCAACATCTGAAAATCAATAACATTTCTGTATACAAACAACAAATTCAATGGTAGAAAAATTATGGAAATAACACCTTTAACAATAACATTCAAAAAATGAAATTCTTAGGAATCAGTCTAACAAAGGATGTGAAAGACCTATTGAATGAAAACTATACTACTCTTCAAAAGAAGATAGAAGAGGATGTCAGAACATGGAAATATATCCCTTGCTCTTTATGGGAAGAATCCACATGATAAAAATGGCCATAATTCCAAAATTTTTATAAATATTTAATGCAATTTGAAACAAACTACCATTAACATATATCACAGATCTAGATAAAACAGTCCTAAAATGCATTTGGAAACTTTAAAAGAGCCCTGAAATAGCAAAAGGATTCCTGAGAAACAAAAGCAAGGCAGGAAATATCACAATCCCTGACTTGAAATTATATTACAAATCTACTGTGATAAAGTCATCATGATACTGGCAAACAAAAGCAGATCTGAGCCTCAATGACACATATTAGAAGATGCAGACACAACTAACACAACATTTGGCCAACTTATCTTTGACAAACAAGTCAGACATAATCACTGGAAGAACGATAGCCTCTTTAATACATGGTGCTGGTAAAACTGGATTTTCACAGGCTGAAGACTGAAACTAGAACCATGTCTATCACCATGCACTAAATTAAAGTCCAAATGAATCAAAGATCTAAACATTAAACAGAAACAGTAAATCTACTACAAGAGAGGGTAGATAGAGATGTTGAAGACATAAGGGTAAGCAAAGAGTTAATGAACAAAATGCAAACCACACAGGAAGTATTTCAAAGAATCAAAAACTGGGATATCATCTTATTAAAAATGTTTGCCACTTCAAAAGAAATTGACAATACAGTGAAAAGAAAACCCACAGAATGGGAAAGAATTTTAGCTAGTTCTCCCTCAGACAAAAGAATTCTATTTAGAATTGAAAAACATAAGGACCCCAAAGTCAAAGACCCAATCCAAAAATCGGCATTTGAGATAATTATGAACTTTTTAGATGAAGAAATACAAGTGGCAAATAGATACATGAAGAAATATTCTACATCATTGGTCATTCAAGAAATAAATATTGAAACAACATTGAGACTCCATCTAACTACAGAAAGAATGGCTGCCATCAAAAAATCAAACAATAACAAACGTTGGTGGGGTTACGAAGAAAAAGGAATATTTTGCACCTTTGGTGGGAGGGTAGACTGGTATAATCGGACTGTGGAAATCAGTGTGGAGATGCGTCACAAAACTAGAGTTGGAAGTCCCATTCAAGTCAGCTATTCTCCTCTGGGTATTTTCCCAGAAAAATTGAAAACCTAATCGGAACAGTGGTATATTTGTAATAGCTAAGTTTTGGAAATAGCCCAGGTGCCCAACAAGCACAGAGTGGATAAAAGGATGTGGTATTTTTACGTGATGGTATAAAGAAGGATATAAAAAAGGATAATCTTGAGACATTTATAAAGAAGGATGTTCTTGAGGCATTTATAGTAGATGAAGGCAAATTAAGGCCATATTCATAAGTGAAATCAATCAAACTTACATTTGTAAATATTGTGCCATTAGTGTAAAAAAAGTACTGAAAGGGTAATAAGATCCAAAATGTACAATAGATATTGTGGTAATGAAAGGGTAAGAAGTGTTCAAAAGGAAAGACCAACTGGGATAGGGGAAAGGAAAGAAAGAAGGGAAAAGTTTATATGTATAGAGGTATACATATTTATATATGCATGTATATATGTACATACAAGATAGGTAACTACTACTGATCTCGATTATTTCATCAACAGGAGTAGTTTACACTTTCATCGTTTGACTGTTTGATAATTTATCTCTTGCCTATATCTTGCAACCTGAAGATTATCAGCTTTGAAGATAATATGCAATATATTAATCAGTGTTAATTTTCTACAATTGCTTTACATTCTGTATTGTTTCTACCCTTTTTTCTTTTTTGCTTCTTAAAATAAAAAAGAATTACATATTTGAATTAATGTGATATAGCTTAATGTAAATTTATATATATGAAATTTCTCTATTATTATTCATGAAAATATATATTTTTTTCAAAGGAAGGAAAAATAAATTTTTCTACTTGTGTGTTGTGATTTGCTATTATCTTTAAATTATTTCTAGTAAATTAACATTATGTTAACTATAACAAAATTTCTAAATTGTGGGAGAGTTTTCCAAACTTACATGTATATAATTAATATGAGAGTATCAGTTTATAAACTGTTACATTTAAGCACATCTCACGTATTATGTACATAATATTAAATTAGTATTAAAGTCATCAAAGTATTTGTCAAACGCATATGATATTATTCTATTTGATTTTAATTCATATTTTGAGTTTCTCTATAATCAAATTAATATTATAAAAGAAAAGCAACAAAGTGAGAAATGCCAAGACAACCATGCATACTGCCTTTGAGCACTTTCTGTTTGATGTCTTCTTACTGCTTTTTGTGAATCTTGTCTTTCTTCATAATGTCAGTATTCTATGCTCATAACATACATCCTGTTCTTCAAAGTTTGACTGCATACAGACACCAGTTCATATCAACCTCATCAGGAAATAAGCCTGAATTTCTTTCAAGTTATACTGCTAAATTATTCATTATTTGCATATACCAAAGTAAATATGTTTAACAGAAAAAAATGAAGATATGTATATTTCAAAGATGGAAGAGAAATTCCAAGCATTTATTTATCTAAACATAAATTGCACATCAGCCAATTCTTGAATATTCATTTTCTTGCCCACCTGACTATTAAACATTCAGCCATTCGTTTCTCAGTGCTCATTAGAATAAAAGGACAGACTGTGGCATAACCATTGCCCACAAGCATCTGGACACAAAGACTGACTGGGTCATTACTCCACAATATTGCACTGGAAGAGAAAACAACCCAGTCCAATAAGTACATGAACATAAAGAACCCCATGAGCAGCAGAATGGTCTGGGTGGCCCTTCCTTCTGGGGATGACTTTGGAGAATGGCTGGTGCTGTGAAGATGCTGGATTTGCCTCTTATGCCTGCACAAAAGACTCACCATATATCCACTTGACAGAGCCATCAGCCCTATAAAGGAGATATCCTGAATGTTCAACAATGATAAAAATACGTACCTGAACAAGGAATTAACAGGCCACAGAGAGCACGATTCAGAGACAAACATGAGACTGTGTGAGGTCACATTGGGGGTGGCACCAATGGAAAGTAAGAAACGAATATTCAGGAGCATATTGAAGACCCATAAGAAGACAAGGCAACACGGATAGTGATGTGTAGATATATGTTTGAATTTTGCCAAACAAGAATTTCTTGGGCTTAGAGTGATGGCCTGAAGGATGCTCAGCAGGCAAGAGGTACAGATAGACAGGGCCCTCATCAACCTATATACATAGATAACAGATTTACACATGAGGTTGTTCCACCAGTACCCAAATCCAAAAGTGTCTGTAGCTATGAAGCACACAGTTACCAGCATCACCAGGTGGATCAGGGCCAACTGAGCAATAGTCAGGTCCAGGGGCTTAGGCCTGTGCTTGCAAAGAAATGTGAGGATGTGGAACAGAAGCAGGACAGTGTTAGCTATGATTCCAATGGTGAATTCAAAGAAAATGGTGATTATCACATCAAAAAACTTGGAAAATGTTTTCTTTTTCTTCATCATCATAGCAAAAGAAAAGCAATGAAATCCTGATGGGAAGTATTAAGAAAAATTCTTTATCAAAAGTATCACCATCATCTTCATCTGTGCAATCTTTTTGCCTTCATCAGATCATTGGATTCCTCCCCATGCATCCTTTCTACTTCATAGCTCACCTTTCCTGAGAGCCAGTGGACTATGTGTGTCAATTCAGGGGCCTCTAAGAAAACTGACACGGATGGTGGAAGACATTTCTGTGTTTCTGTCTCAATGTTTAGTTTCCTTCACAAGGCACAAGGTTCAATTGGCCTTTGCATCTAGAGAAAATAGAAAATGTGACAACTACATAGTAAAAGTTATACTTCTTGATGGTAAATGGGAGAGATCTGCCTACACTGGAAACTAAGATCCTCTCAAGCACTTCATGGGGCAGGCCATATACAGTAATGCTACATCAATGATATCTTTATTTCAGCTCATTGTTGGATAAAATAATCATAAAGAAAAAGTGTTTCTCAGTATAGTCTGAAGTCAAATGAATTTGATTGAAATCTATGATCTGACACTTATCAAACCCAGGATTTGAAAAGGAAGTGTACATATCTGAGTCATAGTCATACAGTTGATAAGACAAACAAATCTCTTTTGTGGAGATATGATGTGTGTCAATTTACCAATCTTGATGAGAGCCTGGCAAAAGAATGTAATTTCAGGTACTGTTATTACTACATAGTGCCTCATGCAGAAAGCTTGAGAGAATTAATATACATTAAAAGTTTTATACCTCTGTCTCAATCTGAAAGAGTAAGGAAAAATGAATATCAAAACAGTAGACACTTAACAATACCTATTTATGACACCCATAAAATTAAAATGATTTTCAATTTTCCAAGACTCTACGTTCATATATTCTAGAAATCCACACTAGGCAAACATAGATCAGTAATGACACTGAAGTTTGTCTTTATTATTAGGATCATGAATTCTAAATTTCTTTTTACTGCACATGCAAAGAGAATCTTTAATGTGCCCATACTTTAAAAAAATCCTGAAGAATCATTCTTATGGTTTTAATTAAGTGTGAGACAAACATTCTTACCTTGAATGTGACGCACAGTGGGTTCATACTTTTGTGCCTTGCTTAAGCAAAAAAGATACCTCGGTCAAGTTTTTGGAGCTCAAGTGTAGATTCTTTGCTACAGAATTTGGTGGCGATAAACTTCTGTGGCTATCTCCCAGGGGGATTCAGGTGTTTGCTTTACATCAGCTTTGATAAAGCTATGGTGTTAAGATCTTAACGTGCTTACTTGGGTATAGACACATAATGTCACGGGCTTATCCTTTCATTATCAGAGATTAAAATGACATTCATAGCTTCATAGAGCATGTGCTTTGTAAGTGACTGAGAGAAACCTGAACTGTTGAGACACAATGAACATGTGATCACAATATGAAAATTACAAGTAAAGAGGTATGTGACCTCAATCCTATGGAAAAATCCTATTTTTAAAATAAAAACATCAAAGAAAAACTAGAAAAGTTTCAGTTTTCATAAAGTATTGATAAATGAAAATAATACAATTTTCTCCATTCACACAGTCAACAAATTAATCTTTGGTCCTGTCATTCACACAGGGGAAACATGGAAAATATGTGTCTGACTATCAGATGCCTCTGACTCTTGCTGATTTCTAAGTCCTGCACGTTCGGCTTTGTCTTTATGTTTTCATGACTGACACACTTATTTCCTGTTTTACTCAATAAAATTATGAAATCTGTACGTATACTAAAGACATGACTTTTTATTGGTACATAACAATATTTAAATATATTTTGAGGATCAATCATATAGAACAGCGGTACAGCACTTGAATATCAAGGGCTATGACATAAGTTAATTCTGGGAAACAAAATGAAAAAAAAGTTTAACAAATTTCATGAAAAAATGACATGTAAATTATAAACTTGTCTTTGTGTATTGTTTTTGCAAAACTTAAGTTTTGATTTAATTCTGGATTCATGAATTGAGTTGGGCAAAAAAATCTTATAAAATGGGTCAAGTGACAAGTGTGAGTCTTTCATAAATTGAAGGATAGAACTACATTACTATAAGCATTCATCATGGTTGAGGAATTTACAGTTCTAAAGCAGGAGGTAGAAAACGTGTAAAGACTCTTAACTATATTCACCATTGAGGATGTCAGGAGATGGCTGGCTTCGTATCAGAATCTGGCAAAATGTTCTGGAGCAGATCAATCTTCTTTCTGCACACCATTAATACAGGAGAGTGTTGCACTCAAGAGCACCCAGTTATGTTAGTAGTTCCCATGGAGGACCACACACATGGCACAGAAAAGGCCAACCATCCAGCTGTCTCCAAAATTTTCAGATCATGCCACTGTATTCGCAAGCACACTCCACATGGCTTTGTCCTGTGGTTTTCTGTAGGTATAAAGCAGAAAGACATAAAACTACTTTTCTGTACTAATCTTTTACCAGAGAATGCATTCTTGAGACTGTGTACACATGAAAACAGGCTAAGGCAAATGATGCAGCTGTGTCCCCACAAAGCCAGGTCTCGTTCACCTTACTCCTGCCAGGTCCAGCACAGCTTAGGAGAGCAGAGGACATGACAGCAGTTCCTTCAGTCCACACGAAGATGTAAGAGACACTCCCCAGATGTGGTTCTTAGGAGTGATAGTGCTGAATCAGGAACTGACTCAGCCAAAATTTAAAATGCAAAATTCACATTTTTCAAACCACACAAAACCAGCTGCCATCAGTGAGAGATTTTGTTAAAAACAGCAACAAAGAAATCACAGAGGAAATAACCTGGAAGAAAGTTCAGAAAAAAGTCACACATTAAAGGCCACATTGAGTAAAAAGCAAAGAAAGTCCATGTGGACAGACTCTTTGTTGATTTCACCAGTCATCATTTGGAGCTCTGATAACTCAGTATGGCTGAAAATGCCCCTTGAGAAATGTAACACAGTTGAGAGACTGACCAATGCCCTAACTGAGGAAGGAGTCACTTTAGACACTCTGACAGCTAGAATTCACTAACACCAAGTTCAATCCTGTAACACACTATACACTCAGATATTTCTCAGTCAAGCACAGAGGTTTGTGTCAATGCATGTGAGCCAGAGATGGGATGAGACCATGAGCCCTGTGGGGAAAAGGGGTCAGGGATTCTCACCTGATGTGTGCACTTACGGCCTTGCTGGCAAAACAATTATAGGTTGTAGAAACTGGCTACCTAGTCTCTTTTTTCTTAGACAGAACGAATGTAATCTGTATATTATGCAGTGTAAGGCTGTGTTATAGTAGCATTCAAGACCAGAACTCAATCATGTGTCTTACATGCATACAAGATCAGATCTTGGTTGTTATTCCTGTACAGTACAGGTCAATTTTACAATGATGGACATCAGTACTGTCCATGTCTATAATTTGAGTTTTAAAAAAAAGTAAGACTTCTGAAGTAAGACTGAAAATGAGCAAAAGACTGGTTTAGGTTCATGAGAATATTGGTCTACGTGCACTAAACCCTTTCAGAATTTCAGCTGGAAAACTACAAAGAGAAAGACACAGCCAGGAAGGCAAAATCATCACCAGTCAGGTAGATGGTCCAAACTCACTGCACAGCATTTGTGAAATGCACAGCACCAGAATTAGAAAAAATGAAATTTAAATACATGGATGTCATCTGTTTACAATTTTTTTAATATGGAGGAAACATTATATATTTTGTCAATTTAAGGCTTCTAAAGTAGACACCTGGATGCTCATTTATCTATAGGTATTACAACACTCATATATCTGCATCTATTTTCAGTAATAGCAAGCAAAAATAATTACTACTTCAAAAAAAGCAAAAATACTTCCAGAGGCAGCTTGTCACAAAAGTGATGCTCTCAGTCCTCACAAACACCCAAGATCAACATGAGAATCTCCAACCAACCTCACAGTGCAAGAAACAAGTCTTCTGTTCATGGAAAATAACTTTCAGTTTTGTCTTCATATTTTTGAAGTAAGCATGTACCAAGAAAATATAATATTTTGCTTTACTATGTTGAGAAAAGTTCTTAAACAATCAGTGAAGGGTGGATGTCACGCAACAGGCATAGAGAGCAGGCCAGATGAAAATCTTTGGTTCTACACTTGAGCTTTATTGAAAGGGGTTCTGGGTATCTACTGTAAATTAACACAGAAGAAATATTTTTAATTTGAAAACACTGGAGAAAATAGTAAGAGCCACAGTCTCTCCCCTCAACACACACTGGTGGATTGTATCCAAAGGCCTTAATTACAAACACAGAAAAAACCTCCTATACTCTCACCTTGTGTTACTTTTTGCTGTATTGAAGGCTGATGCCACTAAGATGAATTCTGTGAAACTGACAGTAGGCCAACCAGGCTTTTGTGAGAAGAGGCTCACACATTTTTTACAGAAATTGAGTTAACATCTCTTTCAGAGCTACTGCTTATAAAAAATGTGACCTCATTTCATACCAAATGGTTTAAATGGAAATTAACTAAAAAGTTATGCAGGTCACTTTAAAAACAAATGACAGTAATTTCCTGGAGAAATGATTTTGGAAGTAAATGTACATCATTTACATTTCAGAGACATAAACATGCCAGAGACTAATTTGGTAATTTTTATCAGAAATAGCACTAATTTTCTAAGTCATGAAATTGAAAGCTGGAATCTGAAACTCTCAGTCTACAAAAACCTCACCATGCAGCCCACTTCTCACTTCTATCTCCTGCCTAGCACCCTGCCCACCACAAACTCTGCATCTGTGACCAGAGAGGCACTTACCCAGAGGCATATGTGGTGATCTGGTGCTCCTGAGAAAACTTGTGCTGATCTTAATATAAGGATGTGACCATTGTGTAGATGTGTCATTTTAGAATTGTTAGAAAAGTGATTCAAAAAGACAGAACCACAGACTCCCAAATGGAACATTTTGCCTGTCTGTGAAGTTTAATTTACCCTTTCTAGATAATAGCCA